TACAAGGTCAACAGTTTGAAACCACCAGCCACTCCTCAGGGGAAAGACAGGGCTTTATAATCTTGTAAAGTGTAAACAGTCTCGGAAACTCACAGGGGCAGTTCTACCCTGTCCTATAGGGTTGCTGTGAGTTGGCATCAGCTTGATAGTAATGAGTTTTATATACATAAACAAATTTAGATAAAACAACTCACACAGTTGTAGAAACATGTAAGTTCCAAGTCCATGGGTCAGGTGTTAAGATGGAGATTTCTCCTGACTCTTGTAGCTGTGGGTACTGATGAATCTAAAAGTAGCAGGAAGACTATAGGCTGGTAGCTGCTGAGGCTAATAAATCTAAGGTCAGCAGGTCAGGCTTGTGACTGTCATTATAAATGAGCCCAGGGTTGGCAGGTCAGATGGCAGGCCACTGATGACTCCCAGGATTGACATGCAATTTGGCAGGCCACTGGCTCAAGTAAAAGAACTAGAGGTTGAGCTAGATGCAGTATCCAAACCCAATGAAAGGCCAGCAAGCTTTTCCACAGTGCACATTTATGTTGAAAGCAGGTCCCACCCTTTCCATGGACATGACCTTCCATTTGGTTGTATCAGGGCTGTGATCTTGAGTAGGGAATTGCATTCCACCCTAAATATATACCATTATAGAGACTTAAACGGATTCACTGTTAATACATTGTGCTAGGTTAGGTCAGGTAGATTACAAACCATGAGAATCCTGACTCGGCAAAGTTGATGCAAAACCTGTTAGACCAATCCTCTGAATTTTGTCCTTGGGTAAATGCTGCCTCTTTGATCTTAAAGTAAGCCTGAGCTATTAGGATTTGGAGGTCTCTTCCACATTTTTCTCCCACTCTGTCGTGTGATCCTTTTCAAAACAGTTGGTCGTAGTAGCCAGGCACCATACAGTTCTGGTCTTGAGACACATCTGCATGGTCCACCAGTCCACTGAAGTACTTGTTCCTGTGTGTGTTTAGTTTCATTGTGCTTCTTTCCTCCAGACAGGAAGCAACCAGCAGTTGCACTTTAAATGACTATTCAGGAGCTTTCAGGACTCCCCAAAATAAGATATAGAACATTCTCTCTGTGAATTATGTTTACTTATTGACCTTGGTGTCCCCTGAGACTGGTTATGCGTCCCAGCAACTAGTTTCCTTAAGGTGTCTGGTTATGTTTAATAAGTTTTCATAACTTTGCCCCCTGTACTTCTTCATATTCATAGAAATATGTGCAGCAAAAGTAAATACACATAGAAGTATCCTTTGTCAAACATGCCATGTCTTCCTGGGTGTACTCTTCCTCTCACACCTGTTCAGCCTGCATGCCGATCCAGACATCCGGTGTACTTGTAGATCACCACTCTCGCAGGGTTGTGTACATAACAGTATTTGCCTCTGTTGCCTTTGACTCTTGAAAAACTTCCCACTTTAGCAACTAAAGTATATCCTCTGGCTTCAGCACAGAAATCAAAACCAAAAGTTCTTTCCATAGCTAAATGTTTTTCTAATGTGAATTGTTATTATACAAAACAAGTAAAGGATATTATTTCTTGCCCTGAGGGAGATGGC